CTTGGCATCAAGAATCGATGCAGTAGATCACGAAAATTAGAATCACGATGCATCATCATGACGATTATTTTGCACACCCCTAATTTGGATCTACTTGTTTTGCATTGTGAAAACTAGAGGCTCAGACCTTTCCAAGAAGGGGTCTGAGGTCATTGTGCGACCATTTCAGTTGATATAACCAGCATGCGTTACATAAGCTGCTCTGTTATTCTTATTTTCTATTCAGTTTGGTGATATTATTGGTAATTTCATGAAATAATGGCTAAATCTTAGGAGTAAAGGCTTTGTCTTATGCAGAAAGTCTCCAATAATCGGAATCAGCATGTTTGTCTGACCAGATTCTCTTTGATGAGCGGAAAGAAATGCATTTTTACACTTTTGGCATTCTGCAAAAAAAAATCACCTTTCCTCGTAGCACACTGCCACTAAAACCTCTATGGAACAAACATGCTTCAACTTATTCCGTCCAAATTAATTTACAATGGCGGCCTGACAAGTGAAGTAAACACTTAGAAAAAGCGAAGTAGGGCTAAAATAAACACTATACATTAGTAATACATAAATAAAATACAATTTAAAACACAACAGAAAACCCAAAAATGACTGTAGAGAAGCAGCTGCAAGTGTCTGTAAACAAGGATGATATAAATGTTTCAGGCTTAGGTCTCCTTTTCTATCACTCAGTTCGGATCTTTGAAAGTTCCTCATTATAAAAAATAAGATGCAGTAAAACTGAATGAGACAAGATCTGCATGATCTGAGAATGATGGAGGAAGAGATAACCACCTGTTTAATCTGCATTTATTAGCTTGTTTCTACTTTTAGCTCCAAATATTGTTGGTGATCATCCTTTTTCGTAACAATGATGATAATAATAATCATCATTGTAATCATCATAATATGTATGATGAGATTATATGTGTTTAGAAGCGACTAGAAGAGTGTATTATGTCCCTGTTTTAGATTAGTGTAAGATTGATAGAATAGTGACATGTTGGTGTATTCAATCCTGGATCTAAACCTGAAAAACGAAGCATCAAAGGTCTCCATGAACCGTCCACTTTTCATCAGTTTTATTCTGATGTTGGATTGATGGTTGAGTCACAGCACTAATTTAGCAGCAGGCCTCCTCATCCTCTGTTCATCCGTCTCTGTTTTTCCCTCCAGGCCAAAGAAAGCATCGAACAGCTGGTGTACGTCTGTCAAACAGACAAGGAGGACGTCCGAGACGCCGCCAAACAAGCTCTGCTGACGTTGGGTAATTCCTACTCCTTTCTGTTTCACATCAGAGAAGTTGGTTTTTATGATGTCACTGTACGAGACAACTTGTATACAGTCAAGGAAAAAGGAAACACGTGAAACTGAACAGTTTCATGTTTCAGAACATGAAGTTCACCAAAACAGATTAATTTTTCTTAATGAACAAATAAGGCGGAATGGAAATGATTGTTCTGTTAAGACTTCAGTGAAGCTGGCCGCTGTTTATTTGCTCATTTGACTCTAGAATAGACTGCTGCGCAGCAAGCCCACACCATCACTTCTCCATCACCGTGCTTCACAGCTGGTGTCTGATCTTTGTGTTATTTTGGTTTAGGCCAAACTAGGGGCAGATTTAGGAAATTTGAGGCCCTAGGCAAAGACAGACAGAGGGCCCTCTGAGTTGAGAAGACAACACATAAAACAGACCCATTATTCAGATAGAGAAATGTTAATAGAATAGACATCCATTATCTGTTCTAGGT